TTGAAAAAAAAAAAAAAAAGTTCGAAAGATGTTCGACGGGTGTACTGCTCGAAGCCACACTCAAAAGCCACAGTAACTTTGCCACCAGATTGCGAAAAAAAAACTGTAACTGAAGTACAAAACTTTGTTCGAAACTATGATACGACAAATTCCGTTTGAACATTAACAATGACCCGTAAGTTCGCCTCACAGATCTCGGGGGAAGTTGTTTATTTGTCCTTCCTCCAAAACATCTTTACCGTTGACCTTATAACTTATTCGTATGCGCATGACCAGGGATTTCTGGGACCAAAAACCGATATCAAAGTAGTTGTTAGTTTCAAATATTTTTGTTCATAGGTTTAAGTTTAAAAGAATTTGTTATAAACTGCATTTATAGGTAATCTAATAAGCTAGCTTATAAGCTTCCTGTACTCAAATAAGTTTCGTTTGGTAGGACGAGATTCTTTAAAAAGCTCGAACCTATCACATAAGCTTTTTTTTGGGTAGCTTTTTAAATAAGCTCATTGAAATTTTTATTTCAACTAGCTTATCAGCTAATTTTACCAAACACTTTTATATATAAGCTAGCATTTCGGCTATAAGTCATAAGCTACAAACCATAAGCTCGAAAATTACTTATAAACAATAACCTGTCAGCTATCAGCTAGTTTTACAAAACATAGCCTTATTTTGCAAACCGTGTAGCTGAAGCTTGCAAAAAAGTCGGGGAAATTTTGAAAAGCAATAAATTAGCGTACACATTTTCGCATTACCTTGCCATGTTGACTGTTGGAGACTCGCAACTTCTGAGTGATAGATTCATTACCACTTGCGGAAAGCGTATTGCTGCTAGCTGGATCCAAGTGCAGTTGAAGAAACTAAAGATACCACATAAATAAATATTTTACATTTAGCAAGAAAAAACCCGTTCGTTCGAAGGCGCAAGTATAACAAAGCCATAACATAATTTGGTAACTTCAAATGAAGTCATTTGACTCATTTCCTGCAAAAAGAAAACAATTGAATTACCTTGGGGACAGCTGCAAGGAACACAAAATCCGAGTAAATATCTGACGATTTGTTTACGAATTGGGCCTCGATTAGGGTAGTTTGTGGACTGCTTGGATCCTTTGAGAATTTAAAAGTAACTTTCAAAGAGCCGCTCTCAAATGCGACAATATCTGGATAAGTTGGGCCGTTGGGCGAAGAGGATGATGGGCTCGTTCCAAAACTGTCCAACAAATCCATCACAGGCAAAGAGGCTTGGGCCGGAGGTGAAGGTGAGGCCAACAGGCCCAAATGATCGACTGGGCTTTTGTTTTCTTGATTGGTAGATAAAATATCGGGTGTCGATGGGCCAATCGACAAAAGGTCCAGCAACACATCGGTACTGCTTTTTGGGGCGTTACTGTTCCCTGAAATATAATTAGCAACATAAACAAACGACTTCAAACAATTTTCATCTAAACGGACAACTAAAATTTAGTTTTAGGGGCTTCTTTGTGATTAGGCCTGTAAACGAGCCAAGCCAAGCACGAGCTCGCCTCGTTAAATAAACGAGCCTGAAATCGAGCTCGAGCTCGGCTCATTTTCACTAATAACGAGCCGATCTCGAGCTTTAACGAGCCGAACTGTAGAATATTATATAAAAATTCTCTTTCGAGTCTTACCGAAACGAGTGGTTAATCAAACTGAGCCCGAGCTCGGCTCCTTAGATAAACGAGCAGAGCTGAGCTCGAGTTGAGCCGAGCCAGGCTCGTTTAATTTTAATTTAACAGCACTATTTGTGAACACCCCATAATTTCTGACATTTCCAAAGAATATTAATCAATTTTATTTTTATTTTTTTCGACTTCCAAAAAAAATTGACCTTGTGAAGAAACAGGGGACAAATCAACGCCTAGAAGATCCTGAAGAAAATCGGTGCCGGATGAGCCAGGTGGCGGGACATCGTCAGAACTAAGATCGAGTAAGTCAACGAGAGGAGCTGTTTGAACGGGTTTAACAACAACCCCGTTTGGAATTTTCGGCGGAGGTCCATGGGAAGCCGATACGGAAGCAGGCACAGAATCAGACCTCTTCCGGCTAAAGGTTGCCTCGTCGAGTACTGGCATACGCTCGACCAGGGCAGACCTGAACAAAACAAACAGAACCAATGATATTTTTAAATGCCTAAAAAAAGTTGAGGAAGTAAAAAAAGAAAGAGAGAAAAACATGACCTGATTTTCTCATGCTTCTCCACAACGGAATTGAACTCGAGAGCTCTCTGTTGCAGTTCGAGCACAAGGCTTCCTTTGTGATGGCGTAAAATGTCATTTATTCTCCTGTGATATATTCAAATCAATTTATTTATTTATTTTTCACATAACCTTTAGAATCAAACAACTAATTAACTCCAAAATCACTTTCCATCCATTTTTTTTTTCAAAGAAAGGTAGCCTTTCTCCAATTCATTTGTATGTGTTAGCTAATTATTTCCATAAGGGATAATTTTATTGCAGCAGTCGAGCACAAATCCCGAACGAACTGTATTTAACTCACTTATTTGAAGAGAAATAAAGCAACTTACTTGGAACATGATGGAAATCGGCTCGATAGCTTTAACAAAGAAATCAAGCACATGGATCGAGTCGTGAGATCCGAGTAATTGCTTCGGATTGCAGCTTCTACAACATCCACAGCATCTGACTCGGTTACCTGCTCCAAAAACAAAACAAACTAAAAAATGAACAAAATTTTTTATATTAATAATATTAAAAAATGCTTTAAAATTTGTTAACTCACAGTTATCGGGTCCTCTACATCGAGCATTCCGGCATTACTAACCAACAGATCACCGTATTCTCCAATGCACCAAACGGCAACTCGAACGAGAGTTTCCTGGTAAAGAGAACACAGATCTCAATAAAATACGAGCTTTTAAGAAAACAAGTGTACGGTTACTATAAACTATTGACCGAGATTCATAAGAAAATTTAGTACCTGCTCAATTGATGTTTGAACAACCTTGTACAGACATCTTACAGTATATCCATGGAGATTAGGGGCATTAGTTATTACAACTATAAGAGCATGCCATATTTCGTCCTTTACGTAATTTCCAGCCTGTCGTCATATATGTATATATATACATATATTAAAAGGTATCAAGACGAATGTAAATTCGCGAACAAATTTCAATATTGAAATAAACTCTCCTATAATACCTCTGACAGAACCTTGAGCATCTGATCAATGTACCATATTTTCTCAGGGGAATACCTGGCCAACGATGTAAAAGCTAAGAACGTTAAACTAGAAAAAAAAAAATAGATAAAAAAATTAACTCCTCAAATTCAACCAAGCTATTTTTTTATTTTTTTTTTTCTCCTCAATGGTAAGATATTGAAGTTGAAAGAACAAAATGAGTTAGATTCTATAAAATGATCAAACGACTGATTATTTTTAACTTGTTTAACTTACCTCTCCACAATCGAGCAAATTTTTGCGGCAAGGTCCCCCTTGAACTCCGAGTCACTCACTTCCAGATAGTCAACAAGCTCTTTGGTCAACGATTTTACATTGTTTTCATTTACCAGAAGATAAACGAGCTCAAGGGCCCTCTTTCGAATTGAAGGGTCCGAATCCTTAAATCAAAGGAAAATGGTGAGTTGCTAAGTGTGTGTTTGTATATAAAATAACTCATCCATATCCAATCCATACTCAATATCTAACTCAAATTTAACTCAACCACACTAACCTCAATATTATCACTATAATTAAATAATATCAATCATATCAATCATTCTTACACATTACATTAACTTTACTTCAATATTCATCCACTCACATAATTTTAACTAACCATCATCTCTCTCATACTTTTACATCAAATCAATTTTAATATTTTATTTTAAATATTATTTTAATATAATCTCAAAATCTCACTAGCAACTAACCATACCAACTTTTGTTTAAAATTAACCATGGTTAAAAAAAAAAAAAAAAAAAAAAA